AAAAGGAAAATATGTTTGACATTGCTTCCCTTGCATGCGTGGTTTGTAATCACATAGTATTATGTGTTCAAGTAAGTCAACCATTTAGATAACTATTATTTCGTAGTTTTCAATACGTATTGTTGACTTACATGTATCTTAAAAGTATGTGTTATTGTAACAACTTCTAATTAAGTATTGCATGTTTTATATGTCTTTATGTATTGATTTGATTTACTTATTATTATGAATCTCATTGAATATAGAGTAACAATTTGTAAGTAGCTATCTATTGTGTTGTTTAAAGAAGGATGATATACATATACCTTAATGTATTACTTTAGTATTTGTATAAATGTCATTGATGACCATGAATGGATAAAGCTCATTAGTTTAGTAATGGTAGAGATTTACTAATATATAGTTTAGATAGTTGGTTCAGTTTTGAGAAAGATGGCTCGATCTAAATCAACTAGCAATTATCAGTGGGCATTACACATGTAGCTTTGCATAGCATATTGGAGATAAATAAGCTGCATGTGTAAGTTATTTGTAGTGTATCAAGAGGAATATAAGTTAATGATGTATTCATATAGATCATTATAACTTTGATGTATCCTTGAAGAATGTATTAAAGGAAATTACATGGTGAGTTTGGAACTGTGATGTTTGCAAGAAAGTGTTTTGTTCAATCATTAAGGAGAATGGTAACCTCATAATAGTTTCTATCAAGTTAACAAAAAGTGCGTAAAAGTGAAAAGGAATCCATGTAGTTCATTATAGTAGCTGACTTTTTTAAGATCTTTGTATACATGCTTTCTGGATTTCTGAATTCTACTTGAATATTCAAATCAGGGTTGTCTTGTAACACTAACATTGTTTATAGGATCTAGACTTCCTCAACAGGCTGCTATCACAGCCTCTTTCCACTACAACAATATGGAGATAGTTAAATCAAAATTAGGATGCTAACCTGGAATCACTAAATAAATTAATATATTTAGATTAACCATTATTGTTTTGTGTTAAATATCTTGTTGTGGATATGTAGACCTTGATGATCATATTTTTTGGAGTACGTAAGAGCACAAGAATAAGATTGATCCTAATTTGAAATTTTAAGATTGGAAAGTCCAAAAGAAGATGGACCAACATTATCATTGGTTAACTAATGAGTTTTATGGATAGATAAATAAAAGGGATTTGATAACACATCGAGTAACCCCTGATTGAGCTAGTAACCCCTCAAGTAACCCCAAAATTAGTAACCCCTCAAGTAACTCCTGACTTAATCCTTAAGTAACCACTCACTAAGTAACTCCTGACTGAACTCCTTTAGTAACCCTGACTAAATTACTCGAGTAACCCCTAACACAACTCCTTAAATATCCCCTTACCGAGTAACTCGAGTAACTCTTGACCGAGTAGCTGGAGTAACACATGACCGAGTGAACCTTGATAACCCCTAATCAAGTAACTCGAGTAATCCTTAATCGAGTAACCCATGATTGATCCCCTCGAATAACCCCTCCCCCTCAAGTAACCCCTAATTGATTAACCCCTCAAGTAACCCCTGATTGAACTCTTTAAATAACCCCTGACTGAGTAACTCGATTAACCACTGACCGAATAGCTCGAGTAACCCATGACCAAGTAACTTCTCGAGTAACCCTTAACTGATTAACTCGAGTAACCCCACAAGTAACCCTTGACCAAACGAACCCCTCGAGTAACCCCTGTTTGAACTCCTCAAGTAACCTTGATCAAGTAACCCTTGACCGAGTGAACCCCTCGAGTAACCATTGTCCTAACCCCTTAATTAACCCATAATCGAATAACTCGAGTAACCCCTTTCTGAATAAATCGGGGAACCCCTATCCGTCATAGTTCGTTTCATAATAATTGCAACACTACTTTTTTATTTTTTTTATAAGAGTCCACAACTATTTTGTATTTCCCTCTGACCAACCCCATTTACACTTTTTTTTGTTTTGTTATTTCTCTCTCCTATGAACAAATAAATATATCCCAGTACATATACTTTATATTATAAAATCACAAATTTTTGTATGCAACCTGTTGTATCGTACAAAAAGGGTTACTCGAGTTTCTTGGTATGGAATTACTAGAGTTGCCGATGTCACTCGAGTTTTTCGGTCATAGGTTACTCGAGTTTCTGGGTCAAGGGTTAATTGATTGGGTTACTCCTTATCGAGTAACCCCTTAAGTAACCCCTCACCGTGTAACCATTCGAGTAATCCATGACTAAACCCCTCGAGTAACCACTAACCAAGTAACCCCCCCCCCCCTCAAGTAACCCCTGATTGAGTATCCCCTCAAGTAACCTTTGACTGAACCCTCAAGTAACCCTTGACTGAAACCTCAAGTAACCCCTGACCTAACTCCTTAAATAACCCCTGATTGAGTAACTCGAGTATCCACTGACCGAGTAGCTCGAGTAACCCTTGACTAAGTAACTCGAGTAACCCTAAACCGAGTAACCCCACAAGTAACCCTTGAACAAGTGAATCCATCGAGTAACCCATGTCTGAACCCCTCAAGGAACCCTTGATTGAGTGAACCCCCCTCCCTCAAGTATTCCTAACCGAATAACCCCTCCCTAATTAACCCCTGGCCAAGTAACCTTAACCCCTGATTGAGTAACCCCTCAAGTAACCCCTAACTGAACCCTGAAGTAACCCCTAGCCGAACTCCTTGAATAATCGCTAACCGAGTAACTCAAGTAACCACTGACCGAGTAGTTCGAGTAACCCATGACCGAGTAATCCCTCAAGTAACCCTTGACTGAGTAACTTGAGTAACCCTTGAACGAGTAACCCCTCAAGTAACCCTTGACCGAGTAACCGCCCTTGAGTAAGCCTTGACCGAGTGAACCCCTCCCTCAAGTAATCCCTCGAGTAACCCTTGACTGCGTAACTTGAGTAACCCTTGAACGAGTAACCCCTCAAGTAACCCTTGATCGAGTAACCCTTGAGTAAGCCTTGACCGAGTGAACCCCTCCCTCAAGTAATCCCTGACCGAGTAACCACTCGAGTAATCCATGACTGAACCCCTTGAGTAACCCCTAACTGAGTAACTCCTCCCCCTCAAGTAACCTATGATTGAGTAACCCCTCAAGTAACCTCTAACTTAACCCTCAAGTAACCCCTAGTCGAACTCCTTAAATACTCTCTGAGCAAGTAACTCGAGTAAACACTGACTGAGTAGCTCGAGTAACCTATGACCGAGTAACCCTTGACTGAGTAACTCGAGTAACCCCTGGCCGAGTAACCCTTCAAGTAACCCTTGACCAAGTGAACCCCTCGAACAACCCATATCTGAACCCCTCAAGAAACCCCTGATCGAGTAACGCCTCAAATAACCCATCACCGAGTGAACCTCTCAAGTAAACCTTGACCAAGTGAACCCCTCGAATAATCCTTGTCCCAACCCCTCAAGTAACCCCAGACCGAGTAACTCGAGTAACCCCTGATTAAATAACTTGGGTAACCCCTAACAAGATAACTCAAGTAAACCCTGCATAATTGCAACACTACTTTCTTTTGGTACGAGTCCACAACTATTTTATTTTTTCTCTTTAACCTACTCCATTTACACTTCTTTTTTTTTATTTTCTCTCACTTCTACAAACAAATAAATATATCTCATTAACTATACTTTATATTATAAAATCACAAATTTTTGCATGCAGGCTGTTGTACCATGCAACAAGGGTTACTCGAGTTTCTCGATATGGGATTACTTGAGTTGTTGGGGTTACTTAGGGTCTGTTCTCTTCCGTTGAAATTCAGTTCAGTTCAGCTCAGCTCAGCTCAGCTCAATCCTGTTCAGTTCAGTTCAGTTCAGTCCAGTCCAGTCCAGTTCATTTCAGTTCAGTTCAGCTCTTAATTTACGTCTAATGATATTGCTAATGATATAAAGCCAAATTTCATTCTTTTTAGCTCTTATTACAACAACGACGACGACAACAACAACAACAACAACAATAACAGTAATAATAATAATAATAATAATAATAATAATAATAATAATAATAATAATATTAACAATAATAATATTAACAATAATAATAATATTAACAATAATAATAATATTAACAATAATAATAATAATAATAATAATAATAATAATCATCAATAAATAATAATAATAATAATAATAATAATAACAATAATAATTGAAATAATAATACTAATAATAATAACCAATAAATAATAATAATCATCAATAACTAATAATAATAATAATAATAATAATAATAATAACAATAATAATTGAAATAATAATACTAATAATAATAATCAATAAATAATAATAATCATCAATAAATAATAATAATCATAACAACAACAACAACAACAACAACAACAACAACAACAACAACAACAACAACAACAATAATAATAATAATAATAATAATACAGTGATAATAATAAATAAATAATAATAAAATAATCAATAATTAATAATAATAATAATAATAATAGTATTATTATTATTAATATGTACAATTGTATATACACATATGTATAGTAATAAATAATCAATAAATAATCAAAGATCACTAATCTGTATTTAAAAATCACTAATTAATAAGTTCAATTCAGTTCAGTTCAACTGAGTTCAGTCAATCGGAACAGGCCCTTAGGTTGATTGGTCAAGGGTTAACCACTCGAGTAACCCCTCCCCGTCAAGTAACCCCTAACTGAACCCTCAAGTAACTCATTATCGAACTTCTTAAATAACCCCTAACCGAACCTCAACTTTAAATAAATTATCACTCCTAAATAGTCTGTACAATTCCCCTAAAGAATTTACTCACTTTTAAAAGTATATACAAATTACATCTCCCATTTGTTCATCACTTTTTTTTACCAATAATACACAAGACACATAATTGAATTAACAAAGCTAATAAATTGATGGTTAATAGGTAGCTTTTGGTTAATAGGCTACTCCCGTTTCATCAAAAAGCCATAATCATTTCCCAAGGAATAGTATTTTCACAATGGGTTACACACTACACTTACACTTCAAATATAATTAAACTTTACAAAATTTAAATAAGATTACATTTTAAAGCATCCAATAATGATTGTTTAAAACTTAAAAAACTAAACTAATTGCAAACACCTTATAAATTGTGCTAAAACCTCAACATTGCAATAACGAAAATTACAAAGTTATTCCATACATGTATCAAAATAGGTGGAACCCCAGTAAAAGTCTGTTGACATAGATTTGAGAGCCAATAAAACAAAGGAGAAATTAATATACGTAGTAATCCGCACTGCTTCTAATGAACAAACTTCAGTTGAACTGCTAGCTCAATCATAAATAGTTTAAGGCTTTAAACCATTAAAACCGAGCCTGCTCCTTATCCCCTAAAAAAAAAGTGAAATTTTGCAAAAGATTACAGATTATGATACATAAAATAAAATAAATACAGTAAGTCCAATCCGTTAAATGACAGGGTATGTCTTCATAGAATTCTTCCTCGGCTTCCACCTTGCAGGATCAGACTTCATCCGAGCATCTCTCTTACCTCCTTAAGCACTGAAAACACAATAAAATATTAGATTGGGAAGCAAACACATAGATTAAAAGGATAACATTTGGAGTTCCCTTGAACTCCAATGATCACAATTCAAACCCATATAATAACATGAGGTCGTGGAGATCTTATAACACCATTCAAAAAAAAAAAAAAAAAAGATAAAAGAGTCAAAAACATAAGTGAATGATGATCCATAAGCAAAGACACACATCAGCGTATGATGATCCACAACTGGACATTAATTTTAAAAGAAAACACACACAAACATGAGGGTATCATGTTAATCACACTGATGATAAGTAGTAGAAGGTTTTCAGCAATTCAAACTCCTTCCAAAATCAAACCCAAATCTCAACAGCTCCCAGAACTCCCAAAGGCTCTCCGCCCTTAAAACCCACTGCCTCACCACTTTCATGTTAGTTTGTAAGTTTAGGCTCATACAAGGACAACTTTGATCTGAATCAAATCGCAAGGATTGCATAGCATATAATTGTACACTCAAGGAGAGAATTAAACTTGGAGAGCCACCTGTTTAAAGGTTTCCTCAATCCAAAAGTTCATATTCTTTCGCCGAGGTTATACCAGTCATGCAACTCAGATGCCATTTTCAGAAAAATAAAAAAAAATATCGCCACTGCAACATATTCAAGATTCAGCAAAAAATCCCCAAAAGTCAGGGTTAGGGTTGTGGGTTTAGGGTTTAGAATTTGGGGGAGGGCCGTTTAATGTTGATGATCATAATCAAAGGAGAGAGAAAGAGAGTGGAAAACTGGGCAACGATCCCCAAAACACCCCAGCAATTTCACACTCATAAAATTCTTCCTCAATTCTCCAAATCGAAAAAAATCAAAGAAATGAGCTCAAAAACTGTCACATAGGAGTATGAACAAAATTAAAATCTAGGTTATCATCAGATTCAGAAATTAGGGTGAGTAAGATGAGCAAAATGCACGATTTCGACTGCAAAATGCAGCGATACTTGAGCAAAATGAGCTCAAGTATCGCTGCAGATTAGACAGCAGCAGTTGCACCTACATGACCATCGGCCGAGGCTCTTGACTTACGGTGATGGTGAATTCGACCAGCCCCACACAGACAATCCACACAAAGTTAATAATTTATAAGAAATTAAACACCAAATGAAATCAAGGGGAATATATAATATGTCAACAATGAGCTCATTATAAGCAGAATGATTGTAAACCCATAGGACAGCTAAACATGCAAAAGGCAGTAGCTAGACTTGCAGAATAACCACTGATAATCAGAATATTTCTAATAGACAGGTAAGTAGTCCATATTAATACAGGAGAATTCTCAAAGGCTTAGAATGTTGCGCAGGGGAAAATCATTGGAGAAAATTGAACTTCACTACTTAACTAAGACAAAGTACACATAATCACTAATAACCAAAGAGAGTTGATTCTTCAATCTGTTTATTAGACTATTAAGAATACTGACATAATGCAATGGAAGAAAAACATTTGATTTCTTTCTAACAGTTAATAAATACCTTCATCCATGCCTAAAAAAAAAATATTATTCAAACATTGCCTCAAGTAAAGCAACTACTCCTTCACAGCTTCATCCACAGACAACTCAAAATCACTACAGTTTATTTTACTTATTTAAGAAAGTTGAACATGATCAGCTTTATTAACCCCAACTTTTTGCTTTTGCAACATAATTGCAGCAGTCTGATTCTATGCGTTAGTATTATTCAATACTTCCTCCGTTTCTATTTAGTTGACGCGTTTGATTTAGGCACATATATTAAGAAGAGGAGTGATAGAGAATGAAAAAACAAGTGGGGTAACTTGTAAATGCAAGGTAAAAAAATTTACCCAAAAAGGAAACGTGTCAACTAAAAAGAAACTTCCTAAAAAGGAATACGTGTCAACTAAAAAGAAACGGAGGTAGTAGTATTCAGCTAAATTCATTCAAGAAAGATAACTTGATCAACCTAGATGATTTTTTACAAAAAAATTGACATGCATAGGGAAAAAATCTATATAATCACTCTAAATACAAAGAATTAACATGGAAACATATTCTAAAAACTCCCCTTAATGTCTCGACTTAGTATTTTCCCTTTTTTCTATGAAACCATTGAATAATGAAGGAGCCAGTAAATAAAACCCAGATAAGTGAAAGAAGCATGTGATATTACGACTTTAAAAAATGTGGAAAATAAGAAAGAAACGGGGTTGAAAGAGAACAAAACTCCTTCTGCAGTAGACTTTTGCTGAGGGAGAAGTATAAGCTGTTTTAACCCTATAAGCAATTGAGAATGTCAAGGGAAATCATGTGGGTAGTTAAGAAAGAGTTAACTGAAAAGACTAAATATAAAACAAGTGAAAGGAAATATAGAGTAGAAGACATCAACAACCAATATATTACATATTTACATAAGAACATAAAGACGACCATCAGACTACTGAAGAATTAAAATAAAATTATACTACAGATGAATCTCACTTCTGGCATTCACCATTACCTCATTAATCATTCCCCATTTCAAACTCACTCCAGGGTGTTGGATGCTTGCACTTCATCTATTTCTTCATAGGCATACTGAGAACAAAACCCACAATGGACAAGCAACATCATCACTTAGAATAACAAATAGCTTAATAACACCAATAAAAAGATTCATGACATCAATTTTGAGAGATTCAACGCTCGCAATTTATAGCTCTTACTCATTATTACGTATTGTGAATTTTAGAAATACACTTCCTACTTGTGTATCCATCAATTTATCTATTAGCTCACTCCCTCATTTTCAAAGCCCTCATTTTCTCACTCCCTTTCTATTTTACCTCACTCATACAGTCATAATGAGCAAAATATATGCGCGCGCACCGTTTAGAAAATTCACACACTTCCAGAGTTGATAGCCCATCACATAATATTTTACAAAATCTGAGAAATAATGTATGAATGCCACATACTTTTTCAACAGGGAAAGGAACTCAAAACCTTCTACACCAGGCACAAATTGTCTGGAAATGAAATTTTATCCCCCCCCCCCTCTCTCTCTCTCTCTCTCTTCCTCTCTCTCACAACCCGATAATATGTATGGATGCCACATAAATTTTCAACATGGAAAGAAACTCTAAACCTTCTACAACAGGGGTATTAATTGTCTGGAAATGTGGTTTTATTCCCCAAACAAATTAAAACCAGCCATTATAATTCATAATTGGTTGGTGCTACCCCTAACTTAGGACCAGCCTCAGTCAATCTGTAAAACCGTACCCCAAATCATGGTCATTGTCCCAAGACTTTACTGATAAATTTAATTAGAAACTCAGTACCATTATTGTCATTAATTAGCATCTATGGATAAGTCCCTATAGAAAATAGCTCATTCACATTCAAATGGATTGTAGCAAATAAAAACTTTCCTTTCAGAAATTAGTATGATCCAAATAGGGGATTAAAAAGGCATACATGGAATTCAACATTGGCCACCACTGAAGTGATTGCACATGCCTTGTCAATCCAGGAGCTGCCACAAAAGTGCTGCCATTACCGCCACCTCCATATCCACCACCGCCATACCCACAACTTCCTCCTTGTGGAGGACCTGGTGTCCTCTCATTTGCAATACTCACACGGATGTTACGCCCATTCAGAACCTGTACGTACATCAGTGCACAAATATTTTTTGTAATGATGATCTGCATGTGTATTTTGAATTTCTGAAAAAAGAAAAACTTTGGAAGTAGATAGGTTGTCTGTTCTCACCTGGCCATTCATGGCAGACAATGCACTGTTTGCAGCTTCAGCATCTGCAAAGTTGACAAACCCAAATCCCCTAGACCTTTCGGTGTTTCTCTCACACCCTTGCTGTAAATTACAAAAAAATGAATGAATTAAAAAGACTGCAGACTTAAAGACCAATATGTAAAACTTGCAATACAGTTGTCTATGAAAAACAGCTTCAATGAGAAATGGCTAATACTCACCATCTACTAATTCACCAAAATTGGCAAATGCGTCCTTCAATGAGCCGCGCCATCAGTTGCAAATGAAAGACCTGACGTGGGCATAATAGTTTAGTTAAAAAGTTCCATACTAAAATTGCATAAATTATTTATTGTATTAATCAATCAAATACCTCCAACAAAAAGCTTTGCAGAAGACATGCATCGAATAGCAGTCATCATAGATGAGTTGAAAGTTTGTGAGATGCTTTGACAAAGAATGCTGTCAATTTTGTTTAGGAACACAATTTTCGACAATAATCTGCACAGAACATAGAAAATCAGGCAGGTACTACAATTTAAAATCTCAAAGGAAAAAGTCCACATTTCACAATATCTTAAATTCAAATTTCAATCTATCCTCAAAAAAATAAAAATAAAAAAAATTAAATTTCAATAGGAGAACCGGCAAGTTTGTAAAATTTTTAATTGCCATACACTATAATCATATGCTTCACACTAAATCATCATAGGGAGAAAGGTTTCCCACAATCTATACGCTAAAATGTATAATCTCATAGGAAGAGCACTCAATGGGCTTTACAATTCACATGCTCAATAAAAATAAAAAATAAAAAAATAGAACAATCTTGCTGTTATAGTAGTTGCTTCAATAAAATGGTTTAATACTCTAGACTTATATATATGACAACATACAAATTGCAGTATTTATACTTCATATGGGTCACTTGAATGTTATATATTTGATTGATTGTTTTTTTCATATTCAGTATGACAACAAACAAATTGCAGTTTAACAAAAATATATCATAAATTAGGAAAGAATACTGTACTAAGTTTCTGGACATAAGATACGAGTAGGATAGCATCATCTTTGCCGAGGTTGAAAACAATGGCATCACCTCCAATTTAAGCAAACCTCATGAGATACGAGTAGGATAGCATCATCTTTTGCTGAATTTTCCCTTTCAATTTGCTTAATTCTTCAATTCCATTTGTGAATTTCAAAAGCTTTATAAATCAGTAATTTACTATTTTCTTTTTCAATTGGTTTTACAACTGTAGAAATTAATTTAATAGTTCACCTGTTAGTAGAACGTAGCTCAACTGTTTAAAATAGATATAACACCAAAGTCTTTGTCATCGGTTAAAGTTGGTAGTAGTACTTATGAACTCCTAATATACTCAACTAAATCAACATTCAACAAAACCGGACCTTTTCTAGATAGATTATTAGCCAAAACACTGCGAATTCGCTGATTCTTTTGGAATAATGGATTAATATTCAAAACCCATATATAAAACCTAATTGAAATTAATGGGTTTTCATGAGCCTTCAATTCATGGTTTAGCGACAAATGCCAATCCTTTCTCGATAAAATCTGAGTTAGGCCAGGTGAAGTTTTTTCAGTCGTGTGTAGTTAATGAAAACTAAAGAGGACATTTTCGATAATCAAAATCGAAGAAGGGGTTTTACAGACTACTTGCATACCAAATCAATTGAACTAAAAACAAAATTAAAACTAAAAAATTAAAGAAAGAGGAGTTACAGATTCATCAACAAAATTAAAAATAAAGAAAATCGAGTACCAGATTCATCCAAACGATCCGAGAAAACCCCCTCGAGACGAAGATTTCCATCGGTCGATGAAGTTAGATTCTGCTGAGTTACTCCCCTAAAAAACAAGAAGATCGAAAATAGAGAACGAAATTAGGGATTGAAATGGGTAAAAATTACAAACATAATGAAATAATTACTCGTTAAATTTCCACCTTGTATGAAAGAGAGAGAGATGAGCAATTCCAGAAGTTCCAGAAGCACCAAAGAACATTACCGTGTACATAAAATCCTATATCAATTACGGAGTACTCAACCCGGTAAAACAAGGTTTATGTCCCTATCAAACTCCGCAAACTTAAACAGTGTATTTTTTTTTTTGGACGAAAAGATAAGGTCGAAGGAGTACATTTGGTAAGTCGTAACTCGTTAGGAGTAGGATTGTATCACAAGGTTATGCCTATAAATATATGATGTACATACTCTTTATTTTATTTTTTATACAGAGTAATTAGATACGCATTGTTCACCTCCGCTTCATCATGGTGATTGATGAAGAATCAAATACTAAGATGGATTTAACAGTCCAAAATAAGATGCATTTTCTTATAGGCATATTAGCAGCACTTTTTGTAGGTTTTTTACTTACGGGATTTGTTTCCTTTATCTTCTTCCTATCAGGCCTGAATTTAGATTTGAGGTTGATTCTCTTGAGGTGAAATCATCAACTGTGATGATTTCGAATAATAATGATAGTGTAGGTTTGGATCTCAATGTAACTCTTTCCCTAATTAACGAGCAACCAATATTGTTCGACTCATTCATGGTATTACTTGCTTACAACAATGATGAATTTGTCCTCTCCTCGATTACACTTGATACTTTTTACGAAAAGAGTCATAACCAGAAGAAAAAGATGCAAATTGGGATGGCGATTGAGAATTTTACAAATAAGGAACAAAACTTCCCGTTGGAGTTCACTTTAAAAATTGCAGGTCGTTATCAGAGTATCAGGGGCCAACAAGAAACTGCTATAGACCGTTTCAAGATTGCTTGCAAAGGCATTAAAGTTATGCTAATTACATCCTCGTCTAATATCACATCAGGAACAATGCTCGATGGGCCACTCCTTTGCAAATGAGTCGTCAAGTATTAGGGTACCAAAATTGTTTATTCTTGGATTATTCAATAAAAAATTGTTGGATTGTATTAGAAATTTGATCGATCTATGTCATATTTTTTTTACTAAGTCATTTTTTTTTTTTGACACACATACTTATCTAATTCAACAATACTTTTTTTTTTAAACGGTAATTCAACAATACTTTGTTGAAGATATTTTAGCTGCTTTTGCTTTTCGTACTTATCTAATCAATATGTCTTCCATCAAGTCAAATTGTTTTTTTTTTTTCCTATTTTCTAGCCTAAATTAAGTTTGTTTGTTATGCCTTCTGTACACCACTACTTCCATATAATATAACCCTTATAAAAGCCAAATTGGGTTGAGGAAGTTGGACGATTTTGCCCCTGCCATAATATTTTTCTGTTCTTGCTGAATGCTTCCCTTCCGTTTTTGCCTCTTCAACTTGTTTTTGGTTTTATCTTTTGTTTTGTCGTCTTTTCCAGCCTTTCTCAGCTTCACTGTAATTTGCTCCTTTTTTTCATCTCTCCTCATCTCCTCTCAACCTCTCTCCTCAATCTATCAAGGTAATCCTCTTCTCGAATTCTAGGCCAGGGTTCTTCATTTTGAACGCTAATCCTATCCCCATAATTCTTTGGTTGTTTAATTTGGTGAGATTGATGGATTTAGGGTTTATTTCTTAGAAAGGAGAACCCATCTTTCTCTCTCCTTTTTTAAAACCCACTAACTCCATTTTCATCCAACACTGAGTCGTGCACCGATTCACCAAACCCAATCAACAAAAGCCTATGATCGCCGGAAAATGGCCACAGCATCACCAACATCTCCACCGTCTCAACATCCACGAATTTCAAGTATATCGCTTTGTTCGTCAATCCCGAGGAACGCCTTCATCTTGAGCATGCCCAGAAACATGCTCATTGATCTTCCTCCTTTTTCAGGTAATTTTGGTTTTGATTGTTTCAAATTGAAATTGATTCTAAATTTTTGTTGAATGAATATTTTTACTTAAAAAGCTTTTGATGCTAAACTACTTCATTAGTCACAATATTTGATGCTTAAGGTTGTAGAGTTTGATTCTTTATGAATTTTGTGTCTCTTGATGTAATGCTTAATGTGTAAGAAACAATTTGCTCGCTTGCATTCTAGGTATGTCAAATTCTGATTTTATATACTCCTTAAAGAGGGTTCAACGATTATAATTTGAGTGTTCCATTGTTTCTGGGTTTGTGTAGAGTTTCAAGCTCAGATCTTTAGGGTTCTTCTTAGCTTGATTGTTTCTGATTTTATTTTTTGGCGAATTTTGTAGGAAACCCAGATGTTCAAGATTGAATTAAAGAAGATATTCTTGATTGAGTTGTCAGTGTTTGTGCCAAGGTGAGTTCATTCGAATCTAATTTAATGTTATATTATTTGCTTTTGTCTTGTAAATATTTGATCTTAAAGTGTTCGATGAATTGCTTGAATGAAATAGATTGTGGGTATTTTCTAATTTAATCTAGGGGTTTATGTTTTCATATCCATAACCCTTAATTATGAATTGCAGGTGATTGATGATCTAAATCTTGCCAATTTACTTGGTGTTTGAGCTCTCCATTAAGTTCTACTTTGACTTGGGGTTGAGTTTTCCATCATGAATCTCATCTGGGTATGTCAAATTCTGATTTTATATACTCCTTAAAGCGGGTTCAAGGATTATAATTTGAGTGTTACCTTGTTTCTGGGTTTGTGTGGAGCTTCAAGCTCAGATCTTTAGGTAGTGTCAGTTTCATGATTTTGTTTGGGTATTTCATCTTTGCTTGATTAATTGATCTGATTTTTCAAAGATTTTATCTGTTATTTTTTGGTAAAAGACTTTTTAATGATTTGTGGTTGCAGATCCGAAGAAAATATAAGGGACCATGCCTCACTAATCACTATCGACCTCACCCAAATCGACTTGGACTCTGTAAGATTTTAGCTTTTATTTTTATTTGTTAAGTTTGTGTAAAAGTTTTACCTTCAATTTCATTAATTGTAATTGATAATTGAATTGAAGTAGTGATGATGAAGTACTAAATTTTGAATGGATTTTGATCTGGAGTTAATTGGTGGAAAATAGAAGTACTTTTGTTTAGAGATTGGGGCGTTGGTCGATGTTTGGTGAATCAGCCTACCAATGACCTGAAGATAAATGCATTGTATTTAATTGGTTGTTAGGTTTAGTTGACAATTTTGCAAACTTAGGGACATCAGTTTGCTGCGACTGCTGTTTTTGTTATAACTTAAGCTTGTGAAAGGTATACAAACACAGTAGGGATAGTTTTAAGTGATTGGTAATCTGGAGGTGAGTTTTAATATTATTTTTAAAATTTGTTTCAGTTGTACTGTTCCTCGTTATCTTATAATGTCAGAAGTATGAGTCTAATTCAACCTTTTCTCACAATGGTGATTTCAGGGCAAGCAATAGTAAGGTGTTTAGAAGGGTGCTATAATGGAATTTCAAGAAGGTTATAGGTATAACCCTTGATTGGGATGTTGTAGGTTAGTAATTTTTATGAATTGTGTTCTTTATGAATTAAAAAGTAATTTTTATTGTTCTCGATGTTGGATGAAAATAGTGAATTGAATTGTACTATAATGATCACCATAGAGGGGTTGGGAGCTCACGCAATTTTTTTACTTTGTTGAATATGATGGTTTGAAAGTGAGAATACGAGGAGCAAATCGTTCATGGGATTATTTTTGAGTAATTATATTTTTTTGGGTCAAATTATGTCTTGTAGTAGTTTTGGGTAAAATTGATAGCCTTTTGAATTGAAATTTAATTAGACTAAGTAGATGGATTTGTGTGTGTCTGATCAACAGGTAATTATAACAGAAGCTTCAAAGGTTATTCGAGATGCTGGAAAGAAGATGAACCTTATGTCTTCTTTGAATCAGAGAATTGCTTCTTCAAGACCACCATCCAAGAAGTGGAAGGTATGTCAATAATGGGAAGATACTTAACACAAGTGACTTTGCCCAAAATCTTGAGAACTGACATGCCTAACACCATAGAATTTTTCCTTCAGCGTCAATGAACATGATGTCTTGCAGTCTCTGATTGCCTAATCTATGTCAAAAGATTTATAGTAATAAATGGCACTAATGTTAGTAATGTTTCTTGATTGTTGTACACTCTTAAACCAGTTTCTAAGGGTTTGTTTGGCATTGTTGTGGTTTTCTGTTTTTCGGTTTTTTGTTGTATAAAAGTATATGATATATGCCCCATAATAAATAAAAAATTATTTAAACTTATTAAAATCATAATAATTTTGAAAACTGACAACAAAAAAGTGGAAACACCTTTTTCTTGTTTCTTGTTTTTGGTTTTTAGTTTTCAAAAAAACAGAAAACTGAAAACCAAAAATGATACCAAACAACCCCTAAAGATCTGGTTTTCAGTTTTTCACTCATGTCACTGATAAATATGATTGTGTGAGACTTGGGTGTCCACTATGTTTAGTCAGAGGGAACTCTAGAAGCTGGGAATATTTATTGGAGAGAAAAGTTGTCCCTTTAAAAGAAATCAGATTTGTTACTTTATCTGCAATGTCTAATCTCATCTTATGTCCTCTTGTGGAAAAACAACTCTTTTAAGGTTTGGGTTATGTGAATAAGCTAGCATGTGAGAGAGAAGTTCATAACAACTGTATCTTTTTGTTTCGAGGTGAAGATAATGGTTGTTTTAGTTTAGCGATCTCCTGATGGGTGATGTTGCTGCCTTCTCATCAGTCCAGACTCCCGAGCACCTCCCAACATGACATGTGACTCTTTCCTTATTGAGGTGAAGATAATGGTTATTTTAGTTTAGCGATCTCCTGATGGGTGATGTTGCTGCCTTCTCATCAGTCCCGACTCCCGAGCACCTCCTCCCAACATGACATGTGACTCTTTCCTTTTTGCGGTTATACCTTCCTTCAATCACTGCCCAAACTAATCCCCTACCCTACTGACCCCAAACCTTTATCACCCCACCCAAACCCACAAAAAAAAAAAAAAAAAAAAAAAAAAAAAAAAAGCGAAAGAATTTAATAGTCTTCACTTCCTGCTGTCATGTAACTGGAAGAAACTGTTCAGAAAGAGGAGAATAAATGGAAATTAATTATGCTAGGGGAGATTGAAGAATGTTGATGCACATCGTATATGGTAACATAATAGGAAAATTGTCTCATAAGCTAAAAGTTTAGTGAATTTTGTATATATTGTCATTTGGTGAGTCAACTTTCTTTTTGGAAATCATCTATGTCAGAGTTGTAGTATGTTTAAATGCAATCTATGAATTGCTTAATTGAGGGAGGGTAAGAGGGTGGGATTTAGATGGATGTGTGAGGTTGTTTATACTTTATAGCTAGGACATGGGTTTTTCAGAACAAGTCTCAGTATTGGCTTCCAAATTACTATGTACGAAGTACTACAGTAGAATCTTTAATCGTAGAGAAAGTGGGATCAATAATGAGCTTTGTTAACTTGTATTACTTGTTGCTAGGAGAATAGGATATGGTTAATGTAAATATATAATGGTATATAATATAATCCATTTACCATGTGCTTCTTGCCGTAGAGATGGGTGGACCATTGGATTTAGACTATCTTGCATTAAGCAAATTGAGATGTGACGATTTGATTTGATGTTGTGTAGTATGATCAAAGCCACAAAATAATGCTGGTGAAAGAATAATGTCACTATTTCCTTTTCCTTGCTAGCATGCTGTGTAATTGCTTTTGTGTGTTGTTGATGATTTTATTTGATGAAATGCATATCTTGAACCCTTTCTTTGTTGTGCTTGTGTGGTCAGGCTATTCTTTATGTCTTAGTTTTTTGTGTGACTGACCCACTAAACATGACCTTAAATATGTTGGTGAAAGTCAATTTTAGAAGTTTTTTGTGGGAAGGTAAATAACCTTGCGTTGGTGGTTAAATTTAAACTTAAAACTGGCATTTCTAATACAAAGGTCAGGTTGGTATAGTGTTGCATATTATATTTCAGAATGTATATGAGATTATGAGTGATGTGCTAAATGCAACATAATATGATACTACTATTTGGGAGTTGTATTTTCCTGTATATGATGATTTCAGCATTTCACCTTGCGAATTTTTTAATTAGAGTAATCAGATGTCATTGATTATGATAATATATCAAATGACTCGCATTGTTATTAGTATTGATATCCTACATAATTTATTTCCTTTCAGGTTGCTTTGGATTTCTAACATAGACGAATTCTGGACAAAGGAGGAGGTGCTGGGCCTGCTTCTAATGGCGTCAATGCGGCTGTTAGACTTGTTTTCTTTACTGTTATCTATTCACTAAACTTGTTATATACAGGTATTAACTATAGTAAGCAGGCAATGCTTTGCAATGAGTTTCATTTTCTAGCATAAGTGATAAGACAGTCGCAATTAGTTTAGTTTTTAAAGTATTAACAATCGTTGCCATTAGATGCTTTAAAGTGTAATCAACTTACAATTTTGCAAAGTACAAGTGTAATAATTTTTTTTCCTAAGAAAATACTTTTTCTTTAAATATCATCGTGGTTTTTTTTAATGAAAGGATAGACATAGACTATTATTCAAAAGTCATTATGGAGTTTTTTTTTTTTTTTTTTTTTTTTTTTATTCAGAACATAACCTATTATCCAAATGTTATGAGTTTTGAATAAGGAATAACCTATTAAGTATTAACCAACAATGCAAATTTATTTAGAGGTGACACAATTGTGTATGATATTTATGGATGAGACAACTATTGCTCCCTTTGTTTTGAATTAATCGTAATATTGGGTGTTGCACAAAAGAAAAAAATAGGATGGGATCAAAAAGTGAATTTTATGACATCATCTATTTGGTGTAGCAGGTCACACCATGTGGGGGGGGGGGGGGGTTTACATCAGTTATTTTGTTAGGGTTATCTGAGTTATTCAGTCATGGGTAACTCGAGTTACTCGTTCAAGGGTTATTTGAGGGGTTGGGACACGGGTTACTTAAGGGGTTTACTCAAGCAAGGGTTACTCGAGTCACTCGATCAAGGGTTACTAGAGGGGTTACTTGGTCAAAGGTTACTTGAGGGGTTACTCGAGCTACTCGGTTAGGGGTTATTTAATGAGTTCGGTACGGGGCTATTCGAGTAATTTGGTTAGGGGTTACTTAAGAAGTTTGGTAAGGGGTTACTTGAGGGTTCAACCAAGGGTCACTTGAGGGGTTACTCAATAGGGTTTACTTGAGGGGGAGGGGTTACTCAAGGGTTGAGTCATGAATTACTCGAGGGGTTACTTGGCAGGGGTTATTTGAGTAATCCCAACAACTCGAGTAACCCTGACAACTCGAGTAATCCTATACCGAGAAAGTCAAGTAAACCTTGATGCACGATATAACAAGCTGCATACAAAAATTTGTGATTTTTTAATGTAAATTATAATTAGTTAGATATATTTATTTGTTCGTAGAGAGAGAAATAATAATAAAAAAAAAAGTGTAAATTGGGTTGGTTAGAGAGATAATAAAATAGTCGTGGACTCTTACCAAAGAAAGTAGCGTTGCAATTATTATGAAACGGATTGTGGCATGGTTACTTGAGTTAAGGTTATTCAAATTATTCAGTCAGGTGTTACTCGAGTTACTCGGTCAGAGATTACTTCAGGGGTTGAAAAAAGGGATTATGCAGTAAATTGATGATATCCTTTTCATCACAAATGCTCTACATTAAATATGATAAATTTTTTTTCTTAGAGACCTATCATTTATGTATGATATCAATAGTAATAACACTAATATTTCAATACAACTTAATTATACTTTACACAATAATGCAATAATTTATAACGTATACAGGCATATATCATGTACAAATTTACAAAAACTAAGTTAATTAGCTTACTTATATGTCTTGCTAATAATTTTCTTAATAAGGTTTACAAACCGGTGCGCGCGCATCGCGCACGGCGCTCTCGGACTAGTGCTTATAAATATTGGTATTCTAATTCTAAATAAAATCATTTAGAATTTCTTTCCTTACAAATACGCAGTACTCCGTTGTTCGTTTTTATATATTTATATACTACATATTTTATTACTTTCATTTTAAATATTCAATATTATCGAACACTTTATTGACCGAATAATCATATTACTCTTAATATAAACCAAAAGTTACTTCTACTGAATTAGTTAGTCTTACGAAGTTTTGTGGAAACATAAATATAAGGATTTTTGACTTTTGCTACGTGTGTTTCACTTTTGCTCCTAGGAATTTTTTTTTATTTTTTTATTTTACTACCTATCAAATCCTTTTTTATAAATTTCGCTACCGGTTAACGTTTTCGTTAGTGAGATCCAATCACCCTAATTACCACCTTTCGACCACCACTACCTCCTTAGCCACACCCTAAATGCCTCCCTGTCAGCCACCAAAATTTTTTTAAAAAATAAAAATAAAAAAAATTTAAAAATCAACCACCAAGCCCAGCCCTCCCGTTAGCCCCCTCCCCCCTAACGGCGGCCGGCGAACCCAACCCCCATCCTTTCCCCCACCACCGCAGCCCCCTCCCTCCCCCCACCATCGCAGCCCCCTCCTTTCCCCCACCACTGCAGCCTCCTCCTTTCCCCCACACCATCGCAGCCCCCTCCCTTCCCCACCATCGCAGCCCCCTCCCTTCCCTTCCCCCACCATCGCCATCGCAGCCCCCTCCTTGTCCCCACCATCGCAGCACCAAAATTGACCCTAAAATCGACCCAAAAATCGATTTCCCCCAAAATCGACCCAAAAATTGAAGATAATCACCAGCCCGAGACCGTTTCCTTCGCCGACGAAGCTGCACCCTTGTTTTCCGGCGAAGTTGAAGTCCTTTTTCCCTAGAAGCCGCAATCTGTGTTGGTTGGGTCGAGGCAGCAAGAACCAGGGGGAAAAGGGAATGGCTGGGCTGCGTTCGAGGGGGAAAGGGAGAGGGAAAGGATCGCCGGCAGAAAGGAGGGGGTTTGGATGCCTGCCGCCGGCAGAGGGGAGGGGGGAGGGAGGTGGTTAACAGGAGGGTTTGGTTTTTTTTAAATTTTTTTTAATTTTTTAATTTTAAATTTATTATTTTTTTTTTTTTAAAAAAAAAAACTCAACGGAACCCATCCGCATTCTGTTAACTGGTAGCGAAATTTTAAAAAAAGGATTTGATATGTAGTAAAATAAAATAAAATTTTTGCCAGGTAGCAAAAGTGAAACACACCTGCTTTAGAGGTAGCAAGAGTAAAAAAATCGTAAATATAATTTGGTTAATTTAGTCATATCAATGTAACAATAGAAAGCCCAAAATATTCCTACAATTTTTGCTTTTCTGCTGTGGTGGAGTTTTCCTCATCGCTTCTTGCTGCTTTCTTGAACCCTGCGTTTGCATAACATAAGATGGTAGGAACAAGTAGTCACCATTGTCACACCTGGACAATAATAATATACAAGATGCCAATTATAGTATGCAAATATAATCAATGGTATTAATGGGGAACAGCAGCAGCAGAAGTAGATGAAGAAAAGGAATTGGAATTTGAGGTGAGAATCCTGTGATTATGGCGGATTCGAAGAGCGAAATTTGAAGAAAATCGAGCTAATATTGATCTTGTCGCCATGTCTCTTGAGTTCGTTCCTCTTCTGCCTTCTTCCCTCTCGATATCTTTCACCATATTAAATCTAAACCCCCAACGCCTACTTCACGTGTGGAGCTATTAATCACCGGTGTTTGGGTCGGGTTAGTGTGGGTCAAATCAACTCAGGTCGGGTCAAGTGAAGTTAATAGAGTTGTTTGATACTGCTAATCAATCCTAAAACTCCCATCATTTAACAGATTTGGCCTTGTTAAAAATGGTTTTACAGCATCATCACATGGCAGAATTGACAGGAGGTGAAGCATACAGCTTCAGACAAACAGAACCTCACTTGGTTTGCATACACTAATAACAATCTTCCAACTCAATCAAATGTCTCAATAGATAGCAGTATAATTACAAGAAGCACCAATGGGAAAAGAAGCATGGAAAAGTAAAGAGCAAAGTGTCATTTTCAAAAGAATAAGGCAACAATTATGGCTTGAGACATCCAAATTGAGATGTAAATTTAGATTGTTATGCAACCTTTACATTGAATATGAGTACCTTAACAATTTAGATTTTTTTTTTTTTTTTTTTTTTTTTTTTTTTTTTTTATTTGTCAAAAAAAAAACAAAGTGTACAGCATGCAATGTACTCTTAGGATTGGAATCTTGGATTAATTCTATAATCTATAATCTATATAAAAGCCCCAAGCACCCTATATAAAAGTCCCAAGCACCCTTACTATTCCCAATCTACTGTATGAACAGGAAATTGACGCTATTGCCCTTAGCACCCTTCCCTGATTGACCAGATTTCCAGGGGTAGTTTGGTCTATTCGGGTTGCCCATTTCTCTCTCCTGCTTTTGCTCCTCTCATTCTCAGTTCCTCACTCTTCTCCTAAGCATCCTCAAATTTCTCTCTCTCTCCTCCATTGAAGCGCACTCTGAGTTCTCCATTAAAGCGCACTCATGAGTCATGATTATTGTTGTTATATTGTCATTAATTTCTTTAATCAAGTTGTCAAGGGTCAACTCAGGAATTAATCTCTCTAAATTGATTAGTTATAATTTAGTCATTGGTCTTAGTGATTGGGAAATATTTGTATTAGCTTCATATCCCTGCTTATTGTTTCTTGGGGCTTGCATTATTTTTTAGCAATTGGAGATGAGAAGATAGAGCAGTTGGAGATGGAGCTGAACAAAGTAGGAAGGTAAAGTTTTGTTTTCTGTTTTTACTTACTGGAATGACATGACATATTATTTACCTATTTGTATGTTTTACTCTTTCAGGAAGTTCAAAAGTACCATGACATGTATGTTTTTAAGCAAGAAGAGAAACTGGGTTTAGATGCTGAGCTCCAAGATTGCAAGGTATCTTATAACTGTCCTGAAAAGCTTCAAGGAAAGGAAATGATATTGGTTCAAAATCTCTTACTCATGCACTAAACTTTAGCACCAATTCTAATCTAAGTCTGCTAATGAAGCCTGTTCTTCACAGCACTATAAAAAATAATAAAAAATGAACCGAAGGACAAGCTACTTCAGTTTTTGCGGGAGCCTCTTACTTAGTTTGTTCTTGGCCTTGTGCTACTCTTCATGGTTTTGGATTGCTGATTTGCTATTCTGTTTTACCTTTCCAGTTTCCTGTGTAATTACTTATGTTTCTATTTGGCTATACATAGTATGCTTGCCTTAGATATGCATGGTTATGGGTGGTTGTTTATGGTGCAGGTGCTGTCTTATTCTTGTTGTTATTCTTGGTCCTTTACATAAAGGAAATTTCTAGCTTTATTATTATTATTATTATTATTATTATTATTATTATTATTATTATTATTATTATTATTATTATTATTATTATTATTATTATTATTATTATTATTATTATTATTATTATTATTATTATTATTATTATTATTATTATTATTATTATTATTATTA